GTTTTCTGAAATGCTGTGGCGTTGTGTGAAATGCTGTGGCGTTTTGTGAAATGCTGTAGCGTTTTCTGAAATGCTGTAGCGTTTTGTGAAATGCTGTTGTGTTTTCTGAAATGCTGTGGTGTCTTGCACTTCAGGGCCACCATAAAAATGTGTTATTTGTTGTGAAATGTTCGAATATCCTGACTCAAAGGAGATAAACCTGAAAGCTTTACGACGCAGGTAATGGAATAACGAAACGCTGATATCACTGAGGGAACCAAAGAATTGAGAAAACTTTTTTTGGCAAGACAGGTGAAAATACGATTTAAAGCTGAATAAGAAAGTGCTCAATGAGGGAGAAACTGAGAGAAGGAAGATGAGAGACAGGCTTATGGGAAAGATAAATGGGGAGGACAGTCAAGCAAGCAGACGGACATGCAGAAGGAAACTTCAGGTAGATGGAGAAGATTGGGAGGGGACGTGGCAAATATGGATAGAGAGCACGGGGCTCAAAGGCAGAGGTTGGCTTAGAGGTTGGGGGGCAAAGAGACGAGTGAGAGCATGAAAGAGAGAAGTGGAAGGGATGACAGAGGCAGAAGGAAGGGGGAGAGGGGGGTTGAGGCAGTGTACGAGAGAAGCAGAAGGGAGGGAATGATGGATGGATAGAAGGTGGTGAAATGGAGAGGTGGGCATAGTGGTGATGGATGTTGCAGCAGCCTGCAGACCCTTTATGTCTGCCTCGGTCCCCTTGAGTACAGTGTGTTTGGTCAATCCAAACTCATGTGTATATAAAGTAAATAGTGTGTATGCATGTGCACAGAGTTCTCAAACGTTTTAGTCATGGGAAGATACTGTCAATACAATCTTAAAAGCTACTCTGTGTATGTGTGTGTAAGAGTGTGAGGTAGTCAGTGGACAGTAAGTGTCATCTGGTCTAATTGCTCTCTCTGTAATGGTAGGGCTAGTTTCTCTATGACAGCTCTATAAAGAAAAGTATGGGTCAAATGCCCCTGAAGTTGTTGCTGAAGGAAGGTCCTACATTTAGTAATTATGATCTACACACCTGTACACGTTGAAGGAACCGGAAGGACTTTCCTTGGAACTAAGTTAGACTTTTGAGGGACTGTTCAGTCCTTTATGATAGTACATATGTATTGGTGGGATTCTGGGTATTTTGAGTATATATTTGCATGCTAGCTAGGCTATTTGCACTGTTACAAATTAATACACAGCCATGCAAACCTGCTGTATTTTCATTTTCTGTCTTGAGGTTGTTGTGGTTGGGACATCACATGACTGACCAGCAACAGAGGGTCACACACTACAACCTTGTTTTACCAGAAGGACCCAGATCAACGCGTTCATCTCTCATTCACATGCGTCGGCTGAATCTTCCCGTTAGATGATCAAAAAAGTCCAGATATACGAACTTAAAATGTGACAGAAGGATATGTGTAATTGAGAGTTGGAGGTCAATATAATTGACAACATCATAATGTGTTGCTCAGTGAGTACCAGCAGGGGAACAGCAGAGAGAACAATCAGAAAAGAAGTACAATAGACAAGTGTTTGAAGACTGGAAAGGACAGGAATCAAAGTAAGGATGATAACGACATTAAAACGATAATTTGCTCTAGGGAAGTGGTTCTATATCGGCTAAGCCCCTAGGAAGTGCACCATACCTTGATGCAAATGTCGGTAGTGGCCAAACAGAGGAACTACAACTTATGTGTCAGTCTGAGATGTCGTTGGGCCCAAAAATACTTTTCCCCATTGACTTAAATTTGGCAAGAGACTTCTGTAAATCAGAGGTTAATTTGTATGAACTAAATCGACTATTAAGAACGAACATTTGCATAGCCCTTATTTAAGTCATTAGGGTCCTTCTCCATTTATTTGAGTCGAGAGCAAGAAATTAGAGGTGGGGCTTGAGGAAAACTCAGGTGCGCACGCTTTATGGGCCCAGATATGGGCACTTTTGCTATCGAAATTCAGGCCAATTTGGATTCATGCTCCACCAAGCAACTTTCATAGAAATGAACTGTGTCCTGCCTCCAACGCTGTATCCAGTTCTCATCATCCATCTATGAGATCAGCTTCGCTTTAACTATGCAATAAGGTTCATGGGGTGATCAATCTCCCTGTAACTGAAGGCTGCATTAACAGCACAAAGCAGTGGAAACCAAATGTAATGTGTCCTGTGCAGTGTTAGTGCATTTTTCGAATGTAAGTAGCGAGCACAGGAAGTAACTAAAAATCCCAGATGACGTCGATTGCTCATTTGAATAAAGTTTTCTGGTCGTGTAAAGGCTAAAGTTGTTGCAAGTAAAAAGCTCTGAGGATAACTGAAAAGCAAACTGGTTCTCTTTGCAACAGCAGCACAGATAGTACCACTTTGAAATGCCAGAGGAGAAAGTTGAAAATATGTCTATTGCCACTTTAACCAATCATCTTGTAGCTGTCAGCCTTTAAACCGTTTTTCTCTCTCGGACTGCTGTCAGCTGTAATTTCAGTGGTCGATTGAGGCAATCCACCTCCAGCCCTCCGGTGCTCGTCAGACCTTAAGAGTGTGACACAGCTAAAGTTACAGCCTGCTGAGCTGTTTGGCAGTCCTGCTGTAGGTCACATCTTTTTAACACTTCTTCTGGTCCTCGGCTCTCTATCAGGGCACATTGCTGTTTCATTAGATTACCTAACCATGAAAATGTACTTCCACCCTATTGTCTAATTGCCAAATACTTGCAAAACTTTTATGTTGGTCATAACCCCATTTGCTTTTCTATCATAACGTCTCCTTAATGGGGCAATTGATATAAAAAAAGGTAATGAATGTGTGTTTCACTACATCATTTTGTAGTCTAGGCTGTATCTACGATTATATAAATTGTCAATAAATCAGTTTTGTTTTGTGGTTAGAGGCCCTATTATGCTTTCTGGGGTTTGCTCTGTTCTGTAGTGTGATATAGATTTGTGTGCATGTAAATCAGGGGTGTCAAACTCAATTTCATCGCAGGCCACAATCGCATAAAGGTTGCACAAGGGCCGGTTGTAACTATATAAATATATATATAAAATAATGTATTATATTACATTATTGCCTCTGAATTGGATTATTATCGGATAGAATAATAACTTAGTAATTAACTACGTCTGAAAGCAGAAGTCCAGGGCAAATAATTGCAAGTCTCTTCAGTGCACATGTCACAAAACGGGATGCATTGTGGGGCATGTAGTTTATGGGCAACCTGCTTCTGTAAAGTGGCATGTAACAGTATAATAAACGTATTATATTCTTTGCAAGCTCTTGCGGGGCTACATAAAATGAAGTCTCGGGCCGGATTTGGCCCCCGGGCCTTGAGTTTGACACCCCTGCTCTAGAGGGATCATTTTGTGATCATGGGGCATCACCCTTACAGCATCAGGACAATATCATATGGAGTCAGACACTGGAAGTGTGCTGGAGGGATTGACTGGTACTGATGGTAGGATGAGGCTGATGAGACTGAAGAATCTACGAGGAACGAACTAGCGGCTGAGAAATAATCATATATTAAAAGACAGCAGCATCTTAAGAGGGCAACCATGTGACAGAGTGTGTTACTTTGCTGAAGGATATTTGTGACCAGCTATCCAGGCCGGACTCTAAAGACTTTCCAAGGTGTAAAAATGCTGCTGCCGGAGTACTGACTGGAAGTATTGCTGATATCAAGTCTGCCATCCTCTTAAAATACTCTGTCCAACAATATCAGTCTCAGGAAGTAAGGTGATTTAACGCTGATTCAAAATAGCAGAGAAACATACATTCTTGTTCTCAGGAGGGGACATTGACAGAGGATTACTGGAAAAGTACTCAGTAAATACTTCATATACTTGTGGGGGTAGTTTCAGTAGTACTGAGTCCAACAGGATCAATCTCACGAATAACTAATGGAAACAAAAAATAATTCCCTCGTCAAACTTAGCAGAAGTGGCTTGATGTTGTTCTCAGCAGGGGATTTTGACAGAGGATTTCTCAAAAAATACACAGTAAAAGTACTTCAATGTATTGTTAGTAGTAGGCTAACTGATACAAAATCAAANCATACCCAACCTTGGATCCAGCATCCCCTTCAGTTGTGCCAGTTGACTTCAAACCAAAAAATAAATCTCCTTTCTGTCTGTTTTGTGGAAACAGATGGCTCGAATAACTCCAGACAGATGCAAAACACAAGCTCACAGTTAACCAGTGCTTTGTGAGGAATGTATTTCCATCGTGACTGTTCTGATGCTGGTAGACAGAGCTGGGGATTGTTGTGAGGAAATGATGTGTGCAAATGCCTTGTCAGCGGTGAAGGGATGCTGATGCAAAGACCTTCTGAGTTTGTTCCCACCGTGGAAGACACAAGCACTGACGCAGCTGGATTATACTTACAGTGATGCGGATCTGCCACTATGGCAGCCATGCGCACAGGCATAATTGGAATAGCTATTAAACTGATTTCCAAAACCAGTCTGTGGCATAAAATATGTTTTAGTTTATTTGGTGTTATTTGAAACGGTTCTGGGAATTGTAATTTAAGTTTCAGTTGCTACTCTAAGGTTTTTTCATCATAGAAAGATGAGCTCTCCATTAAGATTGTGTTGGCAATTGTATAGAATTGCCATCTGTCATCACATCAAATTGTTCAACAGTCACACAGCCTCTTATTCAACAAGCAACAGTCGTACCATTTCTGCTTAGGTTGCCTATAATAAATCTCCACTTGCGCAACTTTAAATGACTAAGCCAAAATGTGTCACATAAAAACAGGGCGCCTTCAGCTCAAGAAGGGTGTGCTGCTCTCTGGAGGTGTGAGGCCTCTCCTGTAATTACCACTTCATCAGTGAAGTCTAAAGGCCGCTACACACCAACCTGAGACCAAAGAACGCGTACCGAAGGCGTCCCGACTTTTACGTCCGCTACGTCGCCTGCATCGGTCCCTACCAGCAGGCAGCATAGTTTGTATTCGTCATTCAAAGGCAACAGCCAATCAGAGTGATTTATTTGGGCGACTTTCTTTGGCCGATTCAACATGTTGGCCGTTTCTCAATCGCGAGGAAACTGGCTTCCAAGCCAATATTTCAAGGATACTACGTCATCGAGATACTTACATTTAAATGTGTGGCTGCGCTGCGTCGTTCAGCCATTTCTCCGCAAAAGGGTTTTGAAATTGGTCCGTGCGCAAAAGCATTGTGGGGATTTGAAGGACGGCGAAAGCTCTACCCATGTGCAGGGCCTGCGAAAATTACGCCAACAAGGACGCGGCTCGGTGGAATTCAAGTAATGCTGGAGATTGGAACAGTCGCTTCGGCGGCACTCGATGACGTAGTATCCTTGAAATATTGGCTTGGAAGCCAGTTTCCTCGCGATTGAGAAACGGCCAACATGTTGAATCGGCCAAAGAAAGTCGCCCAAATAAATCACTCTGATTGGCTGTTGCCTTTGAATGACGAATACAAACTATGCTGCCTGCTGGTAGGGACCGATGCAGGCGACGTAGCGGACGTAAAAGTCGGGACGCCTTCGGTACGCGTTCTTTGGTCTCAGGTTGGTGTGTAGCGGCCTTTAGACTTCACTGATGAAGTGGTAATTACAGGAGAGGCCTCACACCTCCAGAGAGCAGCACACCCTTCTTGAGCTGAAGGCGCCCTGTTTTTATGTGACACATTTTGGCTTAGTCATTTAAAGTTGCGCAAGTGGAGATTTATTATAGGCAACCTAAGCAGAAATGGTACGACTGTTGCTTGTTGAATAAGAGGCTGTGTGACTGTTGAACAATTTGATGTGATGACAGATGGCAATTCTATACAATTGCCAACACAATCTTAATGGAGAGCTCATCTTTCTATGATGAAAAAACCTTAGAGTAGCAACTGAAACTTAAATTACAATTCCCAGAACCGTTTCAAATAACACCAAATAAACTAAAACATATTTTATGCCACAGACTGGTTTTGGAAATCAGTTTAATAGCTATTCCAATTATGCCTGTGCGCATGGCTGCCATAGTGGCAGATCCGCATCACTGTAAGTATAATCCAGCTGCGTCAGTGCTTGTGTCTTCCACGGTGGGAACAAACTCAGAAGGTCTTTGCATCAGCATCCCTTCACCGCTGACAAGGCATTTGCACACATCATTTCCTCACAACAATCCCCAGCTCTGTCTACCAGCATCAGAACAGTCACGATGGAAATACATTCCTCACAAAGCACTGGTTAACTGTGAGCTTGTGTTTTGCATCTGTCTGGAGTTATTCGAGCCATCTGTTTCCACAAAACAGACAGAAAGGAGATTTATTTTTTGGTTTGAAGTCAACTGGCACAACTGAAGGGGATGCTGGATCCAAGGTTGGGTATGGATTTCACTCCTACCACTAAATTGAGTTTCACTCTCACCATATGTGGCAGTCTTCAATGTACACTTCAAGGTGACCAATCTTTAACAGGACCATGTGGAAGTTTTGACTTTGTTTTAACTTTTTTTCTTTTTAAAGTTACCTGAAATAACTGTTAAATGAGATGGCATTGTCTTGCTGTAACAACGCCCAAGTTTTGAATGCCAGGATAACGATATATAGCTGACTGTTAGTGTGCGACAGTGTGAATAGGAGGAACAATCAGGAATCAACCACACCTTCTGACGCAGTAAGAGGCCAGCCATGGCAGCGGCACTAATCAGCACTAATGAAGACTGGCAGTGGAGCCTCACACCATAAAACCTTAAATGAACCCCCGTCATTCATTTGTTAATTGTAAATTTGGAATGAGACAAGGTCGCTGTTATTATTCTGAACAGCCTCTTTTGTACCACAACGACTACTGATTATCTAAAGTGGCATTTATTTTGATCATTTGGCCACTGCATATGTTTTATCTTGAGTTTTGAGTAATATTCATTCATTCTTTCATTCTGCTCTCTTGTCTACAATGCTGGAAACGGACCTATTCAGCATGGAGAATACACCACAGTGCAGGATAAAAGTGAAACAGCACAGACATAGCCTCACACCACATGAAGGCACTATTGGACATATTACCACCAGATGTCTGACTCCATGGCATTGGTTTCCCCCTCTGTAGCCCTCTTGAACGCATGAATGTAAAAATGTTGTTGGTGTCTTGTATGATTTATGAAGCTATGGATTTACTGCCATAAAGCATGAACAGTTGCTTTACACATTGTATTGTGTGCAACTAATTACATTCTCAACCTTCAAGGACATAGTATCTAGTTTCTTTTGAATAGCAATGCATTTATTTTTAATGTGTCCAAGTTTAACACATACAGAGGGTAATGCAATACACTGAACTGTAGTACATCAGTCCATAACCTATAGCTGCAGTCCAGAGAGTCACCTGCCATGATAAATTTGGCTGAATTTGTGTGGTGAAGGGGTGACAGAATATTGGGGGGGAGGGGGTTGGGAGGCTTGACAGGAGGTGTGGAGAGTTGCACTTTATCTTTTGTTGCATTTATGCCTTTTCAGAATTTACGATTTGCTTCTCAAAGCCTCTGGCACTCGGGTGCCTCGGCATTCCCATGTGTCATGTGACACCTTTGCTTTGTAGCAAGCAACACAAATCATTATGCCTGACAACCAAATTGCAGAGTTTACTTGACACTAGTAGTTTTTGGAAAATTAGTAATATTGGAATAGATTTCTCTGTGTGCATTTAAGTTTTATGTCTATATTCCAGGAGTAACTGAATGAATGGGAAACATCATAGGAAATGTTAGATGTCCCCATTAAGGCGACCAGAATGGGAGAATAACAGATGCACACTGTTTATTTTGACAGAAGTGAGCATGCAGTTTAGTGTTGGCAAAGACAACAAACACACCTGTAAAAATGTTTCATGCTTGGAGTCATTTCTATGAATTATGGCTTTGATGTCACTGCTTGTATCCTCTATTTGCATATACCCTAGAAAATGACTAATTCTGCAGTCTATACTGTGTAAAGCAATTCTGTGCCAACATGTTTTGCTGTCTCCACGGATACAGCATATCATCAGCAGCAATTTTCTTACATTGATGATTATCACAAGGAAAATATATATGAAGTAGATGTTTAATAAATGTCTTTGTTGAAAGATATATATATGCTATATCCTTGACAATTAATTGTGTAAATCTATTTGACAGGATTTTGCACTTATACAGTTAGAGCAAATGTGTAATAAAATATCCTGAATTGTTTTATAACCTATAATTATGTCGTCACCTGAATACCCTCGGGTAGAAAATCAGGTGGAAACAAGCATGATTTAATGAGGCGACTTTTGGAAGGATGTTGTTTAAAGGTGTGTTTGAGGTCATATTGTCAGCAGGGTTATGGAATTTATATCTTTTCCTAAATTCCCCTGGACATATTAAAAAGTATATTGGACTGTTTAACAAGAGTTCAGTCAGACAACTCACATGTTTCTTAATATGTTTCTTATAAGCAGCATATAGTTTGAGTTTGGCGTCGAGGCTCGGGCCTCACCACTCCACAGATTTACAAAGAACATTGAGTGATGATTAGATGACTATCCCCCAAGCCTACAGGTGGAAGCTGGGGTGGAGGTGGGGCAGGCAAGCAGCAGCAACATGAAACACAGCAGCAGGAACATGAACGTAGCAATAGCAAGTGAACACAGCAGTGAGGCAGAGGCAGGAAGACCTGGCAGCTTAAATAGAGCGGCATGTTTA